TTTCCTTTAAATATGTTTTAGATTTTATGGTCTTAGTTTTATCTAAATTGAGAGGAATTTTGTATAACATTTTCTAAAATGTAGGTATAAAAAGAAAAGTTTTTTGTATTTCTAACTACAAGATAGTAAGCAAATTTTTATGATTTTGACAAATTTCATTAAAATTCTAATTTTACACACATAAACAAAACATTATACCTATGTATTCTTAATATTTTTTTTGTAAATATAAAAACAATCCACGTGTAACTTTCATTAAATTTTCAAGAATTTTCACCCAGCAAAATTTATTAACAATCATAAAAAATTGAAATAAATGGCTATAAATGACTTAAAAATAATTAAAATATTTTGAAAGTTGTTTAGTGTAATGAAAATGTTAATATAAACATTTGATTGTAAATTTAAAGTGTCTACTGATACTATAATTTGAAATAGGTACAATAAAATATCAAAATTTGTTTATGTGCATAAAAAATCAATACTTACAACATTCAAAATTAAAACTAATATAACTAATTATTTATTAGAAATAAATATTATTTAAATTAATTGAATAAAATTTATTTATTTTATTTTTCTTATAAACTTAAAGCTCAAATGCTTATGCACTTAAAACTACTGTAATTTATATGCATTTATGCACTAAAAAATTACGAAATTACGAAATATGCAATCAAAATTTGCGCTAAAAATGATAAAATATGCATTTTAGTCAATAAAAACACCAAATTATGCACAAAAAAATTTGTTATAATTCATTAAATATAAATATATTTTATTTTTATTATCTAATAGTTATTTTTATTTATTATTTTTTTAATATAATTTAAAATAGGTACATTTTTAAAATTACATAGCGTTTTATTTACTTTAATTTACATTATTATTTATTAATTATAATTATTATTGGCGTTACCTTGTTTTTTAAAATGTGTACCAACATTTTAAATCCTTTATTTTTTTCAATTACATTCTAGAATTTATCGTAAATTTCTTTTCCTACTTATAATTTAAATTGTTTTAAAAAAAAAAATATACTGAAATATGCATTTTTATTTTAAAAATCCCAAAATATGCAATTAAAATACAAAACCATTAAATATGCAAAAATATGCAAAATAAAAATAGTATTGTTTGATTCAGTAGAACATGAATTAAATTTGTATACAGGTTAGCATTAAATTGGATAAATAGATAATAATATTCAATTTCATAAAGATCTTAGCCCTATTTATAGTTTTATATAATGATTTAACGAGTAAATACATCAATATTTTTAAATAAACATTATAAGTAGTACCTAGTTAGTATATTTTCAAATAATTTTTTTTAAATTTTTAATATTAGTATGATAATATATAATTTAACAATTTTAATACAGCTTATTTGTATTGTTTATTTAAATCGGTTTATTTTAACAATTGTTTTAATTAATATTATGTGTAACTCACTAAAAAATTAATTTAAAATTAACAGGGAAACTATTTTTTACATTTATTTTAGCCATAACTCATAAGTATTTATGATAATATTTAAAAGCAAATATAATTTAAAAACATAGTTATAGATAATCTGAACAAACTTTTCTTAAACTAACAACACAATTGAAAATATTTATTAACTTACAAATTAAAACTGTGTCTTAATTATTTTAAAACATTAATACTTCCTAATAAGTAGGTAGCTTATCAATGTATTCCTAGAGCTCACAACATTTGAAGCCCCCATTTTTTCAATTAATATAATCCTGTTTTTTTTAAAACAGATACTAGATAAAACAAATTATTATTATTTTTACTTACTTAACTAAGATCAACATTTTTTAAAATAAAAAATAATTAGCCAATGTTAAAAATAAATACTTGCTTAACATCATAAAATATCAGAATTTCAAAAAAAAAAAAAAATAAATAAAATAAAAATATTTTTTTTAAATAGTTAAGTATTACACTTTAATAGATAATAAAAAACATAAATCAGAAATCAGTCCATTGTGTTTTATTAAATTGGTTTTAAAATATAGCCATTATGTATGCTTGACATTTTTAAAGGACTTTTATCGAAAAAGCAGTCATTTTGGTAATTATGACTGCACTATTGTACTATTACTACCCTTTATTTGTTGGTGGAATGCTATTAACCAACTATTAGTAACAGTATAGATGATCAAACAATAATTGATTCCTTACTTACCATGCAACGCTGTACACCTGGAAGCTAGATACACATAAACCCAAGTACACTGAAAGAACTTTACTTAAACACAAAATAAAAATAAATAAACAATTATATAAATTCATTGAAATAATATTATATACCATAGTATAATTATTAATATATTTTTATAGACTGAAGGCAATGTGATGTAACTATTCATCAGACTTTTCTTGTATAATTTAATTAGTTTATATAGAATTATATTTCATTTTTTGAATGAAATATATTTTTATCGTTAAAAAAATAATGCATTATATTTTTAATGATTGTTACAACATATATTATAATACTCCGAATCACAAAATGTTTGGTAACTGTTGATATAATTTGTAGCAATATTCATTATTGTTTTCTTACAATTGAGGTAATTTAATGGTTATTACATAATATATTAAAATTATAATGATACAATAATAGCTCTTGGTTCAAAATTTAAATAAATTACAAATTATTGATAAGTATTAAATAAAGTGTTATAATAATATATTATATTTAAGGTGTCGTTGAAAGTGTTTGGAAATTCTGTTAATACAAATAAAACAGGATGTCTCCGAGCTTTCCAAACATAGCTTAAGAATATAACAATATTGTGTTACTAGTGGTACCGAACTAAATAATTTAATATTGGTGTTTAAGAGGACGAATTCAATTATTATCATAGACTTTGTGACGGTTCTAGAGAGAAGCATGATTATTCACTTCCCGAGACCCTGAATACCCAAATTTTATGTTAAAACAAATAGAAATTAGTTGTTCAACTATAGTTTTATCATAAATCAACTTTCTATATACTCTTTTCAACATTAAATTACAACCACTATTAGTTTGTTAGATTTCTTGAAAATAAAATTTTATATTTCTGAAGTTATATAACGTACCTATAATGTTTTTGAAATAATTTAATTATATAGATAAGTATACATTTTATTAATTATAACTAAAACTTATTTACTGAATTAATTGAAGTAATTGAAGTATAATATAGTGTAATCATAACTTTGCAGTCATTCAATTTTGGGTGAGAAATTCAAGAAACAAATTCTAGAAAAATTTGGTGTTATCTTTTTTTCATTCCTAAACCAAGATGATATGCTATTTATTATTACGTATATTTACTACATATGTATAAAATAACTAATCACAAGATACAAAACACTTGTTTAATACACACACATCTTTATAAAAAGAATGTGTATTATGCTGATAAGGCTCGGTACCACTAGTGATATAAATTTTAAATTTTACAAATTATTTAATAAACATTTAAACAACTTAATAAAAAAAAGTATACATTACATTAACTATTGTCATTTTTATAATATTAAAATAATTATATATAAATATGTTAATTTTAACAACATACTTATATATATATTAGATAACCGTGTTGATTTTAACAATATATTTATATATTAGATTAGTGGAGGAGTATGATATTATCTGTTAAACAATTACATTTTATTTTCTTGCACAGTTATATTTAGCTAATGTATTTACTACAATAAAAATGCTAAATTCAGGGGTGTTACTCATTACCGCACAAATTATAAAATAACACATATTTTAGTGTTACTCTGTAGTGCAAATTCAACATCTTATTTAGAATTATTAAATAATATCAAATCGTTATTATTGCCAACAATCATTCCAAATATTACTCATTTTCAGTTATTTGCACAGTTATATTACAGGCGTTTTACCACATCACAATGAAAATGAAAATAAATAATAGTTGACATTTAATAGTCTATGCGAAACATTTAAATGTGTTAAATATATTTTTAAGAGTAAAATGTATTATCTATTTTATAATAATCACAGAAAAACTTATTAATTTGTTTATCGAGTTTACAGTTTGGGATTATTCTAAAAGTTTGAATGTTATTGTTTGACGGTGTTGTATAAGAAACGTGATGAAAATAGAACTATGAAAAAATCGTATTAGTTCATTTTAAGTTTAATGATTATTAGATCATTTAAGAAATGTATTATACTTAACTATAATTTGAGGAAAAAAATATACATGATATATTTTTTTTTTTTTTTTTAACTGTGTATTGTGTATTATCAACTATAATATGAAAATATAAACATTTAATAAAGCGATTTGATTAAAAGAAATCTTTGTTTGTTAATTTTTGTATTCAATTAAATTTAGATAGAAACATGTTGTATGGTAAAAAGCTACGAAATTTAATGAATTTGAGTGCAGTAATGGAAAGCCCCGAATTAAGGGCACATTATATTAATTTAGTATGCTACACGAAGTTAAATGATTTAGTGTGATACATATGATTTGTAATACCGTATAAGTTGATTTGACTTAAAATTATTGGTAACGATAAGGAAAAAAGATATAATTGACAAAAATCTATTAAAAATTATAGCAAGTTGAGCATTATGAAAACAATTTGTGCTTATTTATGATTGCAAATTCTGGTAAACTACCTACACATATTCTTTATTAAATGGTACCTAAAAATATTTCACTACAAATTATTCATTCAACTATCTTTGACGAGTTTTGAGTATCGCGAAAATGTTAATATTACATTTAATTTATTATTTAATAGTTAAAATGCAAATGTACTGTAAATAGCGTATTATTTTATGGTTACATATCTTTATCGGAGTTTTAGTATTTAAGATAGCATACTAAATGTGTACCCAATCATATTTTTTAAGAACACGAATCTACTGTTACGACTATACCATTAAATTGGTTTGAATACTACACATTATTTTGTGACTAATAACTATAGATGCGTATATATTATAATTTAGGGTGTTACGTATCTATATGCTACTCTCGGTATAATTGATTTGTCTTTGGTGATTGCTTTAATAGACATTTTCACGCTGTTTGTAATTGTTTTGGTGAAGCAATTTTTAAAATATTTTTTAAAAATATACAAGTACCTCAAATAATACGTCATCTCTGGGAATGTCTTCATTTTTATTGGTTCTTGAACTGAAACATCTACAATATATGCTGGAATACTATTTGGCATATAGGTGACATTTAATTTCAAATCCTTCATTATGAATTTCACGCAATCAGCTACATTTAATTTGTTGCCAATTTCTGTAGAAAAATTAGCCGTCCAAACTAGATTGTAGAAAGTGACAATGAATTCTATAGCATAAGAGTCACCTTTTTTAGAAAACATGACTTTGTTAAATACATTATATTTACGTTGTTTAAATAAAGTAGTGTTCACAGTTTTAAAAGTAATTTTACGAAATTCCGATACGTCATATCGTTCCATAATTATACAATTATAAAGCATATTATTAGGATAAACTAGCAATGGAGTGCTTATTTCATCTTCGAGTAAATTCAATAATCCATAGAATCCTTGTACTGGTAATTTAAATGTCATATCATAAATATATCGCAAGTTTATCTTTACGGCTTGCGTTACATATGTATTGGCGATCGTACCAGAAAAATCCTCTAGGGAGGAAAAATTGAAGTTATAAAATCCTGGACGAGTATAATCGTGCATTACTTGTAATTCACCGTTACGAATGCTTATGTTGAATTTATCTTCATTAAATTCTCCAGATTCAACAGTTCCAATAATAAATAATTCATCAAACTTATGGGAAATTCTTGAGTAATTAAATGTCTTTTTAAATAACTTGTCATTCCTGCCAAATTCAATGTAAGTCAGTTTCAGATTCTCCAAATTTTGTACTTCAGTATTTTTAAAACAGATTCCACCTTGTGTATGATCATTTGTAGAGAAACAGCGAGGATCAATTTTAACTGATTTAATTTTCTCAAATAAACTAATGGACTCTTGATAAATGGGATCAAACAAATCCTTAAATTTCATAATTTTAGTAGCAAATTCGTTGAAATCATTACAATCAGACACTCTAATTTCAATCGAACCTGAAAAATATCACAAAAATACAAATAAATTTCCTATTATATTATGTTAAATTAAATTATGACAAAATACAAATAAGTTGTTAAAAAATTAAATGAGTTATTATTTGCTGTGTATTTATATACAATATTATTACCCCTCTAATAGCTTTTAAATAGTCATATAAATTATTAATATTCATAAGATCAAATTGATCTAAGTCCTAAATTATTATTAATCTTACAACATAACCGTCATCAATATTGCTGTTTTTAATTGATATGATTGAGATGAAAAATATCAGCACATATAACCGACAACTGTGTACGCCATATTGGCAATAATACAAATAAGAATAAGAATAATGATACAAAATAATATATGATTTTAGGACAAATTTTAAAAATAAAATAATAATAAGAATAAGAATATATCGACAAATAATAATATTGTTTAAATACGCAGTATGATATCAGTGTATCACCTGATTATTGATATCATGATATCTAACTCCACACAGAGGTACCGCATCAGTCAGACATTATCCCTTGGCCTTGTGACAACATGCGGACGCACAAACGAGGATTACGTACAAAACGGATTACTGGTCCGCAAGTGCACAGAGTTACTGTTTTTTACCGGAAGAACGACTGTTGCTGTGGATAAATCTCAATCCCACGGCAGTTGGTGGGTTATGTTCGTACGTGAATTTGCTCGGGTGGCGAACAATAGCAACACAAGTACGAAGTCACGAAGATCACGCATAAAATCTTATTGGAAGGCACCAGGGGCGAATCCAGAAATTTTCTATGAGGGGAGGAGGGTGCATGAACATCAAAAAAAAAAAGATCAGATAAAAAAAGCTTGGCCCATAATATCTTTTTTTTATTTAATTTGAGGGAGGCGCATAGAATGTAAAAAATAAGGTCATCATATAAAAAAAGCGAAAAATTTGGCCTGTTAATATCATTTCTTATTTAATTAGGGGGCGCCCCCTTTCCCACCGCCAGTTGTCATTTTCGCATTGCTATTGTTAATTATGACCTTTTTTTGTAAGACATTTGCACATCATTCGATTTTTGGGTTATACATTATTTGCGCATTAGCCGTTTAAAAGGTCTTACGTCATTTGCGGATCAATATTATTTAACAATAGAATTTACAAAAAAGGTGTATACCCAAAAGTGCTAGTTTTTTTCTAATTTTGATCTTGAAATTCATTCATCAACTTTCAAATATTGTACAGATATTTCTAATATATTTTACGACGCATATTATGATAGAGAGAAATGGAGAGATTTTGTGATGGCAGCGATGGCATTTATTTTCAATTTATTCAAATTATATTTATAATTGTACTTTATGACTGTAATGAGCCGACAAAAGTGTTCATTTTAATATGTGTATTTGCATAATTATTATGACTGAAAATTCAATTTATTTTAATTATATGAGTTTATTAATTACATATGATTTATGGAAATCATTACATTTTCAATCAAAAACTATTTTTTTTATACAATTCTATTGTTCAACATGTCGATGCGCATTTGATGTATGATAATTTGGTGCAGGTAAAACGGACAATGCGCAAACGATAATAATTAGCGCTGATGCGCAAATGATGTACGATATTTTGACACAGGCAAACAGACGATGCGCCAATGATGTACGGCCTTCCCCACTCCCTCGGATCTGCCATGTAAGGCACGCACAGCCAAGACGCCAACGGACAAAACGGCAGAGAATAATAAACACGCGTGGACGGTAAAATCTGTCGCACAAAACCCAACAAAACGTGGTGTATATGCTTGGTGTGGTACACCAACTTATCGAACGAACGGCGGAAAAGGTCCGAATGTACCTATCCAACGTACACGTGATACACTTCGCAACGGTACGATCTATACACGGGTCGCGTGAGTACCAAAGATGGCCGCACGCCACACGAGCAACGGCGAGGAGGACGAACTTGCTGGGCGCACGGCGGAAAAAAACACTCAAAATAACGATAAGCACGACAGGTGGCTTCCCGAACGAACAATAACGGCACGGGCTTCGTCGGCGATCGCCGATTATCGTCGTTAACAACGTAGATAAGATATGGGTCGTGTGTGAGTAGCGAACAGACCCTTTCACACTTCACTTTGTATTATATATTATAATAGAATGAAAAAACCATAGTTTTCATAAGACTCCATAGCAACATAAGTTCAATAATACTCATTTGAAAGCCAAGAAATGGGAAACAGCTAACTCTCCCAACGGGATACGTTACTAATATTTTGAACTACAGACTACAGTACATGCATATATATGTCTGTCTTATCTAGTCCATTTTTATGTTCTATATGATATTTTTTATAAGCTAAGTAAAGTTTTAACAAAAAAAACTAAATATTGATATAATTTTTAACTATATACCCATCTTAAAATATTTTATTTTTAAAATTCAATGAAAAATCTGTAAACTGAACTCAACTGCTTATAGGGAATGAGTAATATTGTTTTCATAAATTGTTAATTTGTGTTGGTTATAACATAACTATAACTATAATAAAATAACAACAAAAATATTTTAAGTAAGGAAATAAGTTTACTTAGAATATACATCTAGGCAGGTTTTTCTTTTATACAAGCGCCATTCTTTTGTGTATTCGTATAGTTAATTATCAAATACTAAATTATTTTTATAGCTTAATTAATATTTTAAAGTGTTCTTACTTGTCTCGCGTTCACCAAACTTGTTAATTGCGTCGATGACTTTTTTAATCTTCTTTTCATCAAAGCTGGCCTCTTCATTTGTGTATTCTATTTTGCGTGCTATAGGTCCACTTAAATATCTTATGACTGCATAATCAAAATAAAATTCCGATGATAAGAAAAGTATTATTGATAGTAAAATAAACACGTGGAAATCCATTCTAGTTTGATGCTAATCAATTTGAATGTGACTCAACTGCAATAAAATATTAATGACGCATTTATTAAGTATAAATTTAAATATTAGAACCCTATTATTAGTATAAACTTACTTTATTGTAATTTAATTTGATACAATTATTGTTTTGTAAATCTCTGCTTTTCTTGAAATTCAAAATGTTGTTTTTAATGTTGAACTCATGAAATTACGAGAGGTAGCGTACCAAACGCCAACCTCTTCCTGTTGCCAAATAATCGAATGTCTAGACTGCGTCCAGGGTCTGTGCTTCACTAGCTGCAAGTTAATCGATAATATTTTACTCCTAAAATTGACATGCGCGAATTGAGATTACGACGGTTTGGGACAACAACCGTAAATAGGGTAAATTCGGTAATCGATGATGCGATGCATAGAGCCCGGGAAAAATTTTATACGCTGCCCCTTTGATACTAAGTAAACATCACAAGCATCAAAACCAAAAACCATAGTTGTCTACTTTCACCGCTAGTTGACTCAACCTCCGCATCAACAATATTGAACCCTAGAATTCTACCTTTTAAAACACTATTTTATTACATAATCCGCACCGCTGAAAATTATCAATGCATAAAGTTGTTGTAAAATATAAATTACATCATAAGTTAAACATATATTTTATTATAAAATTAACATATTATTTTTAGATACCAAAAAAGTTTATGTGGAATAAATTAAGGAATATGACAAATATACAGGAAATAAAGATGATAGAAATTTTAAAAGTAACCAATATCATATTTTTCACTAAAAATAGTTTGACATGAAATGTATTAATTATGCTTCATTTAAATCTACACCATATTATGCTAGGTGATACAAGTAGAAAATATCTGATTCTTTAACTATTTGTTATTGAAAACACTATTACAAATTCTCTTTTGGGTTTCACATATCTTAAAAATGCATATAACATAAATTTCAAAAATCTTAAAACTTACGATCGGAATATATTGTATTATATACGAAGATGTCACGTACTCGTATGAGAACTACGTATAATGAGATTAAACAATATTGTGTACTACAATGATTTTGAATTTTTTTGATCAAAAGGAGGGTATCTTTTCAAGGTTGAAAATCATTGGTGTATTATATACAAACGAGAATACCTGTAACAGTGTTAACGTTCACAATTCATACAAGTAATATATATATTTTAGGTATTTAGCGGCTTTATTAAATGCTTGAATGAAGAGACCTTCCAATGAAGACACTTCAACGTGGGTGGTCTCATTATTAGATCAAAAATTATAATAAATTGACTTAGTTAATTTGACAAGTAAAAATTCAGATTTTTGAACCTATTTAAGTCGAATGTACTTGTTAGATTATAAAAATGGGCAGGTTGGCAACGCTAATTGTAGAATGAAATTAGAGTGTACAATTGATGGCCATCACTGGGGTATAATAATATACATCGTAATTTAGACAGTTTTAAACTAGATTGGTGAAAATGTTTACTGTATACGTTCTATACTCACTAAAACATCAGTAAAATAAACTTTAGCAAATTAATTAGCTAATACAGTGTTTACTTCAAAAATATATTTAACACGATTTTTTTTTTTAAATAATCATCGTAATTATGGTTATATTATACATATAGATATACAGAAACAAACGAAAAATGATAGGAAGATAAATTAAGTGTTCATTACAAAAGCTATTGTGGTGTACGAATAATATCAAATTTCACTGAAAAATGTCATATTAAAACGAACTGTCATTTTCTAAATTTAAGCATTTTAAATGCTTAAACTAAATGATTTAGAATAGATTTTAGTTACGTATAATTATAAATCACAGAATGTATAAAAAAAACAATTATTGCAACACAACATGAAATTTTTTTCGAAAAATAATCAAGATTAACAGTGGTGCTAAAAAATAGATATTTCCTTCTTTTTTTTCAAAAAGTTTTTTAGTTCTGTTGTTTTATTGTTCATTTCCCTTAATATGAAAATTGAAATGAACAGTGTTGCCTGAAATATCAAAAATAATTTTCCTTAAATTGGCAACAATGTTAATTTCTAAACTACGGTGAACATGTTTTTTCAATATTACTATACTGTATTAATTTAGAGGTCGGTAACTTAATTAATACAAGTAAATATTTTAACTAAGATCATATTAAGTGCCAAATTAAGTGAGATCTAGACAAGAAAAGTTAAAACATTACCCAGTGAGACTAATTAGCCACTCAATATAGAGTATGATCTTGTGAAAGTTTAAATTCGATGGTATATTTTAGTATTGATAACATTATTTTTGTTATAAGTTTATAAATTCCTTAAAAAAATTAATTATGTTAATATAAATGTAAATATGCATAATAAAAATAACTGTAAAATAGAAGAATGATTTATTATGATATCATAGTTGTTACTTGTAAATAAATCTAATACACTTTACCCAAGGTATAATAATTTTAAGCCCATGATTTATAAAAGAGTGAATAATTCTACCACTGCAATCATTTGAGCCAATGATTGCACTTCAAATGGGTACTGCCAATAACTTTTGAAATATTTTTATCAAAGACACGTAAAAGTTGAGCAACGTTATTTGATTTATACGATAATTTCATATAATATAAAATAATGAATTATCAATAAATAAAAATAAATTATACAAGATGCCAATCTATATTGTGAAAATTAATGAAGATAACAGCAATGACATCACATACTAAGCATCGTATCACTATGCTTTTTTATTAAAATTATATATCTATTTTAAATACATTTTATTTTTATTAAAATTACATAAGTAGTATCAAAACTAAATTTAGGTTTAGATAATATGTAGTTCCTACATTGTTTGTTTGATGCAATTATACAATATTCATTTCTAGTTATTAAATTATTGAATATATTGTGTATAGTGTATACATAATTTATATATACGACTGCATGCATATAAAACATAGTAATAACTGATTTATTAAAATAATTTGTCCACGTATGTTTGCGTTAACTTTTAAACAGAAACTTTTGGATTATGAATTAGCTTACGATGTCTTATGTTTGAAGACATATGGGTTGCAGTCAATCATTTCAGGACTATTTAGTTTCACCTTAAATTATATGAAATTTAAATTTATCCAATAAGTTCATGAAGACGAATTTATAATATTTTTAGGAGAGTTTAGAACGTTAATATTATATTAAACCTAAATTTAGGTATTAGAACACCAGTGTGTAATTTTATAATACAGACTAAATTTTGAATATTAAATGTACAAGCGGAAAAACAATTACCGTTTCCGTTATAAACACAATAATATGTCTATTCAGTATTGATCAACTGAATATCATAATAAAATATCATGCCAACTATACCATTACTAAAATTAGTATAAATACGAGTTCGTAACAACTAATAAGTTTTTAATTTGTTTAAAAATTTAAGTTAAAGAAATTCAGAATAATGTTTTAGATTTTCAATAACCATTCATTCGTGTTCTTCTTTCAATACTCATTATGTTATATTTGTCTACATAAATATTCGGTTTTAATATTACATTATACTTTTTTTTTTAAATCATCTCAGGTTGTATCATGTACTATGTTTTTAATTTTATACATTTTTAGAGAATTATTAAAAAAAATCTTTTGAAATATAAGAAGTTTTTTTTATTTATTTAAATATTAGTATTAGCATTGATTTTAATATATTTAATTTTTTGTATATTTTAGTACCTATACATATATATATCTTTTTATATTTTGCATATTCTAAAATCAATGGTAATTAGTATTTAATTGACTGCAAAGATAGAGCAATACATATAAAATATTGTCATCAAATTTAATGTATCCACACATAAAATGATGACCTTCAGATCATATGCCAAGGTAAAAAAAAAATCCATAATACGTCAATACAAAAACATTTATAGAGGTGTTTTTTCTTTGATTTAGATTTATTTAGAAAGTACAGTGTTCGTCTTGCTGATTTCATAATAGAATTTAATAAGTACCATGGTACTTTAAATTTTATGCTCACACAATATTATATCGAAGTGGAACATAAAATTAATTAAAAAATTTATTCAAACACATGAAGACTTTCCAATTCCAATAGTATAAATTTCATAATATTGTAACTTACACTATTAATTACGTTTATTAAAATTTATTAGATAAGGTATAATTTTTGGAACATACCTACCTATACATAATTAGAGTCCTTATTAGTTTCCTTATATAATAACATATAATATACAACCGTTATTTAATGAATATACTCGTAATAAAAAATAATAATTATATTTTATGAAAAATTAGTAAATATTCATAAAAAAAAACCATACATCGTATGAAACTATAAATTAATTTTTCTTTGATGCTAAAAAAATATTTTCAAAAACGACTAAATAGATCAACGGTGAATCTTTTTTTTAGAATAAAAATTAGTTTCTTTCTTTAAAACAACTTTAAAAATCTTTTTTTTTTTTTAATCGTGATAAAATAATTAAACTGATAAATTAAAAAAAAAAAATACTTTCAGAGAATTCACTTTGTAGTTTAGTAGATGGCATGTAACTATAGTGGATTAAAGGTCAGATATATTTGATGACATTTTCAACGCAACCTACATTTTTTTCAAATTATTTTAAATCGCTTACATAATTTAAAATTATGAATTTTTCGGAAATAAATCATTTTCATAAACATTTGTTCTATTCATTTTAAATAATGTATCAATATAGTCTATGATTAATATGTATTTAAAGTTAAAATAATAGCATATTACGGTAAAATATATAGAAAAGCATTCAAGTATTTTACACTCCTAATATATCACATCTCTCCAATCTGAAAATGTTTATGAATTGTAATACACAAATCGATTTAAAAAAAATTATATGTTAATATTTTCAGTAAAATTATATTGAGTATAAATGTTAAATTGAAATCTACGAACATACATAATATCTTACTCCAATCTAATTTATT